AGAAGAGATCATTTGCCCATAGAACCCATAAGTCTTCTTCACTTCATGACGACGTTTTAAAGAGGAACATGCTCATGATTTTTATTTTATATATTAATGTTAAAATAAATAACATTAGGTTAATATAAAAAAACGATAAACCACATCATCTGAGTGGTTCAAGTCAACATGCCACATAGTATACGTAGAAGGTCAATCGCAAAATATTGGTGATATATTGAGTGTGTCAATGTTTGAACTCATACCGTTTGTGTGGAATTCCGCTCATCGGCCGCTAGGCTGCCAGCTAAAAGCTATAAAAAATAAAAAACACATTATAAAGGTCAGCACCATGTAAACATAAACACAAAATGAACAAACCATTAAATGCCACATAGATGCTAAATTAGTTCTTCACAAGTTCGTCGGTCAAATTAATAAAAATGGTCAAATTAGTTTCTTTCTGTCAAAGTAGTAAAAATTGTTACATTAACATTAAAAATAAAGGGAAAACTGCAATAAAGTCCTTACATGTTGCCCTTATAATCAATGTAGTCCTTATATCTTTTTTGTATTCAATTAAGTCCAAAAGCTAGTAATCGTATTCAATTTAACCATTTTAGTCTGTCAACAGGTCATCCAACATTCAAAAATTACATTTTTGGTCCAGATTTCAAATTTTATTACAAATTTGGTCCACAATTTATACATTTGACCTAGATTTTAAAATTTATTATAAATTTGGTCCAAAATTTACCCTTTTGGACCAAATTTTAGAATTTTTTTATGAATTCATCATAACTTTAGCTGTTTTTACAACATTTTTCTCAAAAAAAAAAACCGAATGTGTTTTTTTCTTTATAAAACCATGTTTATACAAAAAAAAACATATTTTCACATAAAAAATCTTATATTTTCTATATAATTTAGAAAAAACATTTTTATATACGAAATACCTATTTATAAAAATAGGTATTTATTATGTACACAAAACCATTTTTATAAAAAAAATGTATACAAACACTTATTTTATTATAAATACATTTATATGCAAACACACACACACACACACACACACACATATATATATATATATATATATATATATATATATATATATATATATATATATACATACACACAAACATCTATTTCATAGTAAATGTATACATTTCTTTTGTAAAAACATATATATTTTTTTATAAACACCTATTTTATAATAAATACATTCGTATTCAAACATGTTTATATATAAAATGTACACAAACACATACTATAAAAAATTATTCAAAGAGGTTTTTATAAAAGAACTATATACAAACACCATAGTTTTCCTTCCCCATAACAACCCACAACCATCACAAAACACCAACTTCAACCACTCATCTTCCCCCATCTGTCACTGCTTTTTTCTTTCTTATAAAATAGCTAGCATCCAACATTACCCATCCCTGTGATTATCTTCACCTACTAATGTCGTTGGAAAACTACGCCTTAAAAACCACCAAACGTAGTCTCCAACCACCAATCACTACATTACTGCTCACCAACATTACCTATACATGTAGTTAAGAAGATCGTGGTATTGGTTGATGGTTTGGCGATTGTAACGACTCAAATTTTTACAAACAAAATTTTTCACTTTTAATTAATAAAACATAATTTCATAAGCCATGAAATCCCAACATAATTGTTTTCAAATGAACGATTCATTACAACTTATTCAAATCATCAGAGTGTCCCCAAACCCTAACAATGAAAGAGTGATATAGAGTGCACACCGCGCCATCATGCCTTGCCCTTGCCCTTGGGATCAGATGTACCTGAAAAAAGTCAACAACCTGTAACCGAAATGCTTAGTGAGTTCCCCAGAGCATACCACACTCTACACATACACATATCTTGTTAGCTAATTAAAGCTACACATATATCATATAAACCATGCATACATAAAA